GAAGGAAGGAAGGAAGGAAGGAAGGAAGGAAGGAAGGAAGGAAGGAAAGAAGGAAGGAAAGAAGGAAGGAAAGGAGGGAGGGGGGAAGGAAGGTAGGAAGGAAGGAAAGGAGGGAGGGAAAGGAAAGGAAGGGAAAGGAAGGGAAGGGAAAGGAGGAAGAGAGGAAGAGAGGAAGGAAGAGAGGGAGGGAGGGAGATAAAGCTTCAATTAAGTGTTTATTAGTCCTAAGTAAATGGGTTTGGTTCCCACCTGGGCCTGTTTTTAACCTCAATTTCATGGCCTTAACAAAGGAAATTATTTTATGAAATGATTTCCTTTGTTACAGAGGAGACAGGCAACAGGTTGTGGATGAATCGATATGAAGATATCATCGTCAATATGGGAAAAGCAACCCAAAATTCATACCTATAATAAGAGGTCAGGAAAATCTTGTCCAAGATTTGACTATATGATCATATCAAGCATAGCTATTTGTATACAAATGTATAAATCATAAAGAAAATGAAGAAACAAAGAGAATAGGGGTTTGTGACTTAGGACACTGGTACCAGTGAGTAGGATATGAACCTCATCTTTATTAAACCTATCTTTTCTTTCCCATTTGTCTTCTCTCTCTCTCTCTCTCTCTTTCTTACTCCTCCCTTTCTCCTTTTGTACTTTCTTACTCTATTTTTTATCCCTCTTTCTTCTTTTGCTTTCTGAGTGTTCCCCTGCCAATTTCTTAGCTTTATCAATTGACACCTGCTGGCAATGCTTTGCCTTACAGAAGTCATGTATTATCTAAGATCATGTTGTCCTCAGACAACAATAACAGTTATCACGTGGCATGCCATTGAGGTACACGTGAAATTATAGCAAAAGAAATAATCTTAAAATGGCAATCCTCAATTTTTCACATGGGTGTTTTTAATGGGAAGTTTTGAATACCAAGCTGCCTCTCTCCTGCCAACCAGTACAATTTTGGAATAACTCCTTATCCTATAATAACTTGCTAATTGCACAGAAGGATACAAGCTAATTTAAATATTAGCCAATGTAAAGTTTAAAAACTGAAAAAAGATGCCCTTTATAATAGTCAATAAATACCTTGAACTGAACTGAATATACCTGTAAAACTGAATTATACATGATAAATTTTTAATTTGGATTGGACCTATGATTTCATTCATGTAGGGAACTCAAATGAAGAACCTCTCTCTACCAATGAAGATTACCACCTGCTCTTCAATTGATAGTCTTAGAGAGTTGCCTGGGGCACTGAAAGGTTGTGACTTGCCAAGAATCACACAGTCATTAGGTGTCAGCAGCAAGACTCGAACACAGGTCTTCTTGCCTATAAGGCCAACTTTCTATCTACTGTGTCATGCTGCTTCACATGCATGATCATTTTTGTTGCTATTGTTCAGTTGTTTCATGACTCTTCATGAATCCATTTGGGGTTTTCTCGGCAAAGACACTAGAGTGGTTTGCCATTTCCTTCTCTAGCTCATTTTACAGATGAGGAAACTGAGGCAAACAGGATTAAGGGACTTACCCAAGGTCACACAGCTAGTAAATGTCTGAGGCCATATTTGAACTCAGAAAGATGAGTCTTCCTGACTCCAGGCTCAGCACTCTGTCCATTGTACCACCTAGCTGCTTTGCTGCTGCTGTTGTTATTATTGTTATGTGCTAATATTCTTCTTAATTGATGAAAATTAAGTTATACTGTTAAAGCATTAAAAATTACTAAATCAGGGTTGTTGGGTTTTTTTTAAATCTGGAATTTAAATAGGTGAATCATCACCCAATTTTCCATAATGAGTTCTTTTGAGACTCAAGCAAAAGAATGTATGTGAAGTGCCATGAATTTTAAAGTGCTATAAAATTTCAATCAGCTAAACTCTCAGATTCCCAAACTTATTTGGCCTACCACCCCCTTTTCAAAAAAAAATACTTAGTGCCCCCCTTTAACCCTTTAATAGTTTTTTTTAAATTTCTGTTATTTCAAAATAATACCACCTCTCTGGATTATTCCAGAGGGCCCCCCCGCCAGGGGATGATATCACCCACTTTGGGAATGTATGCAAGGTCATAAAATGTAGTAAGATACAGAACCTTTTTGTGGTTTTTAAAATAAATAATATATTTACCATGAATAAAGTAAAATTATTTGTTCATTTAAGTTTACTTTGCTTTCCTCATCAAACATTTAGAAGTTTTATAGCAAATATACATGGTAAAATATTTAAATACTCACAATAAATGTATCTTCTACTTTGGCAATTCCTTTTCCAAATATAGTCCCTAGTTGATCTCCAACTCCAGCCAACAGAAAACCAAAGAGGGGAATTCCCAATAAGGCATAGATGATACAGAATATCTTTCCACCTTCTGTACGTGGTGAGATGTTTCCAAAGCCTAAATCACACACACACACACACACACACACACACACACACACACACACACAC